GGTTCTCGCGGGTATTAGTATGTGGATCTTTGGTTATTCGGGTTTTCTCCCGCGTAAGATTGGCAGTATCTAGGCAATGTTTCGATGAAGTCTCATTCATCATCTTCAGGCTTGTGTCTTTGGCTCTGTGCTTCTCAGAGTGTCACTCTGAGAAGCACAGAGCCGAAGACACAAGCCTGAAGATGGTGAATGAGACTTCATCGAAACGTTGCCTAGATACTTCTAATCTTACACGGGAGAAAACCCGAATAACCAAAGATAGATAGATAGATAGATAGATAGATAGATAGATAGATTTTACATACATATACATACATACATACATACATACATACATACATACATACAGTATATATATATATATGCTTTAATTGATAGGTTGGAGGGAAGTATGTCTGTGCTGATTGGCCTATTTACCAGCAATCTAGCCAATCTGCAGATGGATGCAGCTTGCTGTTTACACGAACTTTCACTGTCTACTGATCCTGATGTGGTCGAAGCATGCTTGCCAGCAACCTCTTATCTCCTGACTTACCTCTCCGGACACAGTGTAGCTCTCATGGTAAGATGGATTCTTGTGCTTAATTGCTCTTACTTCTGTTAAGCCAGAAGTGACTATCCCTGTGTAATTCCACTTGTAGAATGTAATAATTTCAGAATGATTCTTTTCAATAAGCTATTTGCTTTAAAAGGCAAAGGTAGGTCTAAATGTCTGTGGTCATCTACCAGGTAGTGCCAACAAATACCACTAAACTGAGTTTTTATGGCACAGATCTGATAAGCCAACTTCTTTTGCAATTTTGATGGTTTAAGGGCAGATCATTTTATTCCAGAACTGTGGAGGGAAGATTCTGAGGATCATCTGGAAATTAGACAAATTGTTTTGCACAGTAGAAACTTGTTAAAAAATACTTTAAAAACTTAACAGATCTCACCTAGATCCCAACATCCAAATGGGAATGCTTCATGTATGCTATAAGACATATTTGTGTTTTTTTTTGTCTTGCTATAGAAGTTATATACTTTGCCTTTTTTACACCTAGCATAGTTATTATGCATTTAAAATTTCAAATATTTACTAATCTTACTCTTGTTTGCAGCTCTTGTTCACAAAGCTGCAGTTAGATTAGAGTGAACATAGGGGAGGAACATATTCTTTCCTAATGTATTTCAGGAGCTGTGTTTATACACATTAGGGAACTTAGTAGTTGAAATGAAAGCTGTGAAAAAGCATCTTCTACCTCAGGGCATCATCCCAGTGTTGGCATCCTGTATCAAGGTGAGTATTCTTGCCCAGCCATTTTGAATATCAGTTTTGGTTCATGAATTACTTTTATTTATTACATTTATATTCCCCTTCCTGATGCAAATGTGAAATTTACCTTCTTTAATCCTTACTACAAAAATTATGTGATTTAAGTTACACTGAGAAATAGTGACTGGCCCAAGGCCTTCCAATGAAATCCAAGACTAAATGAGTATTCTAAGTCTTGAATGCGTCAACTATTACAATGCACACTCATTTTTAATTTTCCATAACTAAAAAAGTGAAATCTCCTTTTTCTGTAGCATGTGCTATATTGTACAATTGCTCAAGACATTAAAATAATGTTCAAAGAGGATAGCTTCCTTTTTTAAAGTATAGCTTGTTACTGTATTACTAAGAGTTGCTTAACTTATTGGGAAACTTCTGAGTATTTCTAAAAAAGTATATTTTTGGAGGGAGTCCACAGGTCCAATACATTATTTTTGGCATGGAACTATTAAAAATGCTACTGAATATAGGCATCTGAATTGTCAGCATTACAGTTTTTTCTTCACTGACTTAGCACAATTTACCAAGCAAGAGAATATTTGTGGGATGTTTCCATATAATTTGTGGGATATTTAAAACAATCTATTTTCTTGTACATGCCTTGCTATTCTCTGCTTCCTTCTCTAACTGACTCTTTGACCCTAAACTATTAGATGATAAGTGGATTGCTTGATTTCAGTCTCCTCATGTGACGATACAAGAAAGTGTTGGCTATGTTCTGTCACAACTCTTGCAATCCAAGGAAGCTCCAGCTGAAATCATACCGTAAGTGAAATTCCACTTAGGAATTACATGCTTATGTGGTTATGTGATGCCCATTTGGATCGAAATACCATTTTTCAGTTCCTCCTGCCTTGATTGGACTTTGGCAGTGTCAAGCTGGGGCATGATGGCTGCTCAAGGAAGTAGGTCTCTTGGAAATTGCTCCTGCAGCAACAGTGTCCTGGGTGATGTGGGGTGCTTCTCACTAGGCTAGCCTCTAGTAGGGTGCTTCTCATAGGCAAGCTGTCTCTTGCTGGTCACAATCTCCCCATAAAAAAGAAATAATCTGTTTTTGCCTGTTCATTTATATCTTCATTGGTCTTAAGGTAAAGAGTACATTTTTAAATTGTTTTCTTAATCGTGCTTGGTTCTTGGAAATTGCTTATATAAGTCCCTGCAGTTTTCTTGGCAAGATTTTTCAGAAGCTGTTTGTCATTGCCTCCTTTCTTCAGCTGAGAAACAGTGACTAGTCTAAGGTTACCAAACTGTCTTCATGGCAGTTTGGCAGGACTAGAGTCTCCCCGTTTCTAGCCTGATTCCTTAAACAATACCTACATTCATTTTAATAAATGCTGAGAATCTAAATGTAGTAGCTCTGTAAAATTGTATACAAATTCTTGCTCCATTTATCAAGGCCCACATAGTACAATGTTTTCTTTCACACCATATATAGTGCTTATCTGACTGCTTCGTTCTCTGCTTGGTAATTAAATAAGATTTTCTTTTTGTCTGCAGGTTGCTCTTAGAATCCACCCTCCCTCAACACATGCTTCACTTGGTTTGTTCCAGACTGCAAGATGGAATAGGAACTGCAGTGGAATGTGCATGGGGTCTTCACTACATTATTTGCAGGTAAATATATTCTGTGGACAATGAAGTTCTCAAATAGTAGTTAGCATATAGAGGGGAATAAACGTTAAGCAGAGGCATGATTTTTCATTCCAGGCTTTGTAGGTAAATCATGAGAAAAACATCTGGTGTCATTGTGGGAGGAGTGGCCATTAAAGAATTAATTAATCTCCTTAGCAACTGAGAATGGGGAAAACATTGAACAAAAGACAGTTGATAGCAGGGCTAGTTATTAGAAGAGGATTTAGTTATAGGCTTTCCCTGAAGAAAAAACATTGTCATTTTAAATAGGAAATTAGGTTAGTTCATGTGCTAGTTTACTCCTCTGGTTGCCCTTCTGTTGTTTTTTTAGAAGGGGTGTGTCAGGAAATAGAAAATAGAACAAAACAATCCCTTTGATAGGATTCTATTTATAGTACTGTAACTACATTGGATAATTGCATACACTGATTTACAATAAAAGTAACACAGAAGGTTGTTCCTTGGGCATCATATCATTGGATTTTTAAGGTGATATGATTATGTCAGAAAATCAGGAAAAAAAGAGGAATTTCCAGTCTGCCTGAAGTCAAAGAACAAGAACAAAGACAGCCAGCTACCAGTACAATTGAAAAATCAGGAGACAAAGAACTGGGTTTATATATTTACAAGTGCTTTTATTCTGCTTCAGGGGAAAAAATCAACCTGAGTGTCTTAACAAAAACAAATGCAATAAAAAGCAATACCATACACATTAATATAATATCAGTAGTAAAAGTCATATTGACAACACCATTTATAATGTTCAACTTCACACTAGCTACATATCTTAATTTCTGAATGCTTGCTTAAATGCATTAACTGAGTTTTCACCAATTTTCTAAATATTAACAATGAGGATGCCGATTTTTTTTCCAGCAGGAAGCAGTTCCCCATCAAGAAACATGCTTGCTTCTAAATTGCCTGCTCTTGCCCCTTGAGGGTGGAGAATAGGGAGTTTTGGTATTGTTCCTATGCTGTACACCTTGGGTGAATAGATTCTGGTTGGAGTAAGCAGCCCTACAGTACATCTATGGCCTGGGCCATAAAGGCCTTTATTACTAGTACCTTGTATTGTACCAGAGACAAATTGGTAGCCAGCACAATTCCTGAAGTACTGGTATTGTGAAATATTATTAGGAGGTCCCCATTACCAGACAAGCAGCTGCATTTTGTATCAGCTGAAAATTCTGGATGATAGTCCCATTTTGAACTGAGCAAGCCAGTTTGACATGCTACTTAAAGGCAGTGGTCTAGAAATTGGGACACTCTGAGTTGTAATCCTGCTGTAGACACAAACCCAGCTGGCTGGGCCAATCAATCTTGCCAGCCCTAGAAAGGAGGCAATGGTAAACACTTTTCCAAAAACATTACCAAGAACACTGCAAAGAGTTCTTCATTGACATGAAGATACCCTTCTACCCACTAACCACTTTGAATAGATAGTCCATTTCATAGGTGATGAGGGCATGTCACTTTGATGGAAGCCCTGTGGATGTGTTGAAATGTGAACAGGATTCACCCTATTATACATCATCTGTCTTACTCTAACTTTAGACATTAGACTATTATTCTATGTCCTACATTCTGGAATAAGAGCTGGAAGGGACCTTGGAAGTCTTCCAGCCCACCTGCTCAAGCAGGAGAATGTATACTAATTCAGATAAGTGACTGTCTAGTCTCTTCTTAAAAATTTCCAGGGATGGAGTGCCCACGATTTCTAAAAGCAAGCTGTTCCACTGGTGGTTAATTGTCCTCACCATTAGGAAGTTTCTCCTAAATTCCAGGTTGCTTCTCTCTTTGATTAGTTTCCAACCATTGTTTCTTGTTCTGCCCTCTGGTGCTTTTTAGAATAATTTGACACCCCACCCTTCTTTGTGTCAGCCTCTCAAGTACTGGAATATTGCTATCAAGTCACCCCTAATTCTTCTTTTCTTTAGACTAGCCAAACCCAAATCCTGCAGCTGTTCTTCATGTTTTAGTTTCCAGGCCTTTGAACATCTTGGTTGCTTTTCTATGAACTTTTTCCAAAGTGTTAACATCTTTTTTATAGTATGCTGACCAAAATCTGTTGCAGTATTCCATGTGTGGTCTTACTAGGGTTTTATAAAGCAGCACTAATACTTCACATGATCTTAATTCTATGCTTCTGTTTATACAACCTAGGATTGTATTAGCTTTTTTGGCTGCTGCTGCACATTTTAGGTCATATTCAACTGATCATCCACTAAGACTCCAAGGTCCCTCTCACAGTTACTGTTTTTGAGCCTGGTCTCACCTAATCTTTACTTATAGGTTTGATTTTTCCTGCATAAATGTAAAACTTTGCTTTTCTCCACATTAAAATTCATTTTGTTGGAGATGGCCTATTGTTCAAGTTTGTCAAGATCTTTTTGGATCCTGAGTTTGTCTTCTAGGGTGTTGGCTATTCCTGTCAGTTTAGTGTCATCTGCAAATTCGAGTGGTTCCCTTTCTATTCCCTCATTTAAGTCTTTTTTGAAGATATTGAAGAGTACTGGGCCTAAGATGGAGCCTTGTGGTACCTCACTGCTTATTTTTCTCCATGTGGATGTTGTACCATTAAGGACTACTGGTTGAGTAGTTTGTCAGCCAGCTACAAATCCATCTTGTGGTGATATTGCCTATTCCACATTTTTCCAGCTTACCAAGAAGTTGGTTGTGGTCTACTTGTCAAATGCCTTACTGAAATCTAACTATAGTATGTCCACAGCATTTCGCTGGTCTACTAATAATTTAGTCCCTTTATCAAAGAATGTAATAAGATTGGTTTGACATGACACGATTTAATAAACCCATGTTAGTTATAACTTTATTTGCTTCTAGTTGTTCGCAGATCTATTTTTTTATTATCTTTTCTGGGATCTTCCCAGGTATTGAGGTTAGAATGATTGGTCAGTAGTTTCCTGGGTCGGGGTTTTTTCCTTTCTTGAAGATGGGAACCACATTAGCCCTTTTCCAATCCTCAGGTACTTCCCCGCTGCTCCAGAATTTTTGAAAGCTATGGTACAATGGTTCTGAGATAACATCTGCCAGCTCCTTTAGAACTCTGGGGTATAATCTGTCAGATCTGGGTGATTTATGTTTGTTACAGTGGTTTTCTCTAACCATTTTCATGCTTATTTTAATTTTTATTTCTAGTTTGTCTTTTACAGTAGTTTTTTGGTACATTGGGCTATAATTTCTTCTTGCGCAAAGACTGATGCAAAGAATGAGTTAAGCAGCTCTGCTTTCTCTCTACTGCCTGTTAGTTCCTTTCCATCCTCTCTTTTTAGTGGACCTACTGCTTCCTTGACTTTTTTCTTGTTATTAATATGTTAGAAGAAACTTTTTATTATTATTTTTGACTTTTGTATCAAGCCTTAGTTCATTCTGAGCCTTTGCTTTCCTGACTTCATCTTTGCATGTTCTGGCTATCTGCTGATAATCAGTTATATGGCCCTCTTTCCATTTTTTGTACTTGTCCTTTTCATCTTTCAGATCTGTGCAGTCATGGTGGTTTTTTCTTGAATTTCTTGTTTTTCTTTTTCAGAGGTATTATGCTGAACTGGGCTTTTATGATCGTATTTTTCAGAGTTTCCCATGCTTCTTGAGTTGTTTTCCCCTTTAGGATTTTCATCCATGGAATCTTTCCTAGACTCTGAGTTTGGTAAAAATCAGCTCTTTTAAAGTTTAAAAGTTTAAACATTGGTTGGATTATTTTCTATTGCTTGTGTTATATTGAATTCCAGTATGACATGGTTACTTTCACCCAAGGTTCTGGCAACTTCAACTCCCTTTATCACTTCTTCTCTGTTAGTAAGAAGTAGATCCAGTATAGCTTTACTTCTAGTTACCTCCTCTACGTTTTGGATGACAAAGTTGTCAGCAAGGTTGGTTAGGAATCATTTAATCTCTCACTTGCTGCAGTTTGTCATTTAGAATGGAATTACATAGATGTTTGTGTATTGAGGTCAGTACATATTATGAATACCAGAATTGATATTTCCACACATCTAAATTTATGTTTAGATTATTATGAAACAAATCCATTACTTTACAGATCTGGAATAAATAGAAGGTATATTCTAATTTCTTTCCTATAAGGTAACATAAATTCAAAGAGGCAAGCTTCTAGATAATAGATCCATGATGGTGAACCTATGCCAGGCATATTGGAAGTGGCACACAGAGCCATTTCTGCCGGCATGTGAGCCGTCACCTGGAACAGATCTACTGCATACACGCATGCTCTCCACCAGCCAGCTGATTGTTGGGTATCTGCTGTGCATGCGCAGGGGATATGCGCAGGGGGATCACATGTGCATGCACAGAGGCACACGGTACATGCATGGGGGTTGCACATGCATTCCATGCAGGCAAGTGCACGCACATACTTTTGGCATGCAACGACGAAAAGGTTAGCCATCACTGTAATAGATCAAAGTTGCTAAGAAGCTTCTACTATAGCTAAATCAGGATTTGTCTCTGTCTTAACACTGCATATCTTACATTCCATGGCTTCCACTCACATTACGAAGATTCAAAATTTGATGCTCCTGAAAAATTGAGTGTGGGGAGGAGAAATATTCGGCTGTATTCATGTTGCTAAAATAAAATACTTATCTTTTGGTTTCCTTCTATTTGTAGCCAAGTGAACAATCCATTGCTGATTTCCCAAAGGACAGTGCCATCCCTAGTGCAACTGTTGCTGGAATTGTCCTCTCTGATAGCAACAACTTCTGTTGAGGGTCTAGAATTGGTAAAGTGGAAATATTGTATATTGGATTTTCCAGAGTAAGACTCTTAAACCTTTTTCTGAATATATCTCATTTTATTTTACCTTCAGTTGATATGTCCTGTTGTGCGGTGTGTTGGCAATCTTCTTGCAGAAGATAAAGCAAATAATGATGAACTTGTAATAAAGGAAGAGTGCCTTCTGAAGGCCTTGTTTGTCTTTATGCAGTATTTCCTTCCCAAACACACTTTCGTTGTACGCGAATGTCTGTGGCTCTTGAACAACCTCACTGGTAAGTCCCTTGAACTTGTTTCAGATATTCTGGATGAGAGAACAAGAGGATTACTAGTCTTTCTTTTGTTGTCATTTAGACTCTTTCAAAGAGCAGTATCTTTGATAATACTAACAACTCAAGTTAAAATAATTAATTAAAAAAATAACTGCCTAATTTTAGAACATTACAGGTTAATAAAAACAGTGCATATTGTAGAATGACGGAGCATCCTTACACAGAGCAAAGTCTGTGTTTCAGAAGTGGTAAGCAAATACAGGTTGTCCTCAATATATTGATGAAGATTCTCAGTCATCCAGGTAGAACTGTCTGGAAATGGAGGCATGGCAACTGAGTTTGGTTGGAACGCTGACTGTACCTGTAAAAGAATGGCTGATTTTTCTGTACTTTTCTCAGTTCACAGCACCACATTTTGTTCTGCTCTGCTCAGCCTAGAAGTTTTTTCTGATCTGTTGAAACTGTTAGGTTCTTACCAGATGATCAACTTGCTGGTAGGTAAAAATATTGTTTCTAAAATATTGTCATTGTGGAAAATCTGGAACTGCACATTCACAATTTGATACAAAGACCTGTTTGTTGGCAAGGTTAAGTTAAAGACGCACATGAAACCTTTTTGCCCTGACATTAATCACAGCAAAATAAATGCTTCAGACAACTGATCATTACACAATATACAGGTTCAGTGCAAAAGGAGTGAGGGCATCTGTAAGTGTATTGGGGAAGGTTGGCAAGAATGTGTAAATGGTGTAGCATGGGTCAGGAGGGCACAAGGGGAAGTGCAAGTAGTGTGGGTTGGGGAAAGTACAAGGATGGCATGAGAGGAGAGGTACATTATGCAATCAGGAGTGTGTGTGTGTGAGGGAGTGCATGCACAAAAAGTATGGATCAGGAAGGAGGAGAGGGTCCATGAGAGGCATGAGTCAGGTAGGATGCAAGAGGGTATGCAAGAGTCATTGGTTGTGGAGGATGTACAAGAAGCACGGGTTGGGGAGAATGCACAGAAGGTCAGGGTTGTGCATAAGTGTGCAATAGATTAGGGTGCACACATGGCCAGTGTAGTGCAAGTGTAAAAAGGCTGGGTAAGGGTGGGACTTACCCCAGCAATTTGCAACCGTTTTTGCCAGAAGGTTCCAAATGGCAATCAAGTGATTGATCTTTCAAGCAAACTATTAAAATTAGTTGAGTGTGGATAAAAGATTCCAACTGCTGCTTTAGAGCCAAATTGGAAATGTATCCATTTTTATTCACTCAAAAATTAGGGAATATAATTATATCCTGGACTCACGACTCCTGCTCAAAGAGCAGGTGATGGTCATGGCCAGGAGGGCCTCTGTGCAACTGTGGGTTGTGTGCCAGTTACACCTTTTCCCGGACCAACAATCCCTACTCACAGTCACTCATGCCCTAATCACTTCCTGACTTGACTATTGCAACACACTCTACATGAAGCTGCCCTTGAAAAGCATCCGGAAGCTCCAGTTGGTGCAAAATGCAGCAGCCTGTATGGTTTTGTACAGAACCCAGTGTACATATGCAGCATCTCTAGTGCGGGAACTGCAATGGCTGCCGATTTGCTTCCGGGTGCAATTCAAGCTGCTGGTCGTCATCTTTAAAGCCCTTCATGGCTTGGGACCAGTTGTCTGAGGGACCTTGTCTTGCTGGTTACATCTAACTGACCCATCAGAGCGGGGAGGCAAGGAATGCTGCAGATCCCATCCCCTAAGGGGATTTAAACACTCAAAGAACCATTTGGATCAGTTTACCACAGGAAAAAAAAACAGCCACAAAACCCAGATGGGCATGGCCAACTTGGTGTCACTCACTCCCACCCAGTCACATGACCCCCCCCAGCCACACCTACTTAGCCACAAAACCCTTCTCTTGCTCCCTCTATGTCTCTCCCCCCTCTGTATCTCTCTCTTCCCTCCTCTCTCTCTCTCCCCATCTTTCCCGCTCTCCTCCCTCCTCTTTCTGTATCTCTCTCTCCCTCTGTATCTCTCTCTGTATGTCTCTCTCCCCCTCTCCTTATCTTCCCCTCTCTCTCCTCTTCTCCCCTCCGTCTCTCTCTCTCTCTCTCTCTCTCTCTCTTTCTTTCTCTTTCTTTCTCGGAAAGCCGTGGCTAGGCCAAGCCAGCAAGCTCTCTTTGGGGCTCTTGACTATTACTTTCATTTCTTATTTTTGGAAATGCAGGCTGGCTGAGGAACAATCGCCAGCCATGGCAGAGGTTACTCTTTGGGCGACCCTCCTCCTTCTCCTTTTGCAACCCCCTGGCCAGCTGTGGCACAGCTGGGAGGGTGTGCCCAAGTGGGGAGATCCTCCTTAAGCAGCTGCCCACCCCGCGCACGCCTTTGCTGTGCTTTGGCCAAGCTCAGCTGTTCGCTAGAGGGTGTGCACCCTCCCACCATGCCATAGCCAGCCAGGGGGTTGCGAGTAGAGAAGGAGGGGAGGAGGGTCGCCAGAGCCTTAGTGCAGGAGTGAAGCAGCCCTGTACCTGCTTTTGCGCCACATTTGCGCGTAAGGCAGCCTTCACTTCCTGCCGCTTCGGACTGGAGCTGAAGAGATGCTAGGGTAGGGGACAATGACGAAATGGCAAGGCGATGTCCAGAGCCTCAGTGCAGGAGAGAAGCCACGTCCTGTTAAAACCATCCTTAAGCGAGCGGCTGCCTGCCTTGCATGCGTCTTTGCTACGCTTTGGCGCTCGCTTAAGGAGGGTCTCCCAGCCTCTGCACCCTCCCAGCCCTGCCACAGCTGGCCAGGGTGCTGTGAGAGAAGGAGGGGGAGAAAGAGGAGAGTTGCCCAAAGGGAAGCCTCTGCTGCGGCTGGCAATCATTCCTCAGCTAGCCCAGATTTCCAAAAATAAAAAATAAAAGGAATAGCCAAGAGCCCCAAAGAGAACTTGCTGGCTTGGCCCAGCCTCAGTGTTTCGAGAGACAGAAGAGATGCAGAGACAGAGAACACGAGATATACACAGAGAGACATAGAGAGAGGGGGGAAACCAGCTGACAGGAGAGCATCTTTGGTGAGGGCATTCCAGCTTTCTCCAAGCCTGACCCCCGGGGTGGGTGTGCAAGGTTCGGCAGGGCCAGTTCCCTTTTCCTGCTGCCCTGAGCTTCTTAAAGTGACAGCTGGGCACTGCGGACCCCTTCCCCTTTCCACTGTCCCATCCTCCTGGATCCCATTCCCACTCTGCCAGCTCTTGTATTAGCGAGGCCGGCATTGGTTGCAGCTGGGTCGGGTCAGTGTCTCGGGACGCAGAGCAGGTTGCACATCCCCCCAAGCGACCAAGGCACGCAGAGCACCAACAAGGGCCGGAAGAAGCTCCAGCAAGAATGAGGCACCAGAGAATCAGCCCTAGCCTTTTTCCTCTCCCCACCGTCACCCTTACCTTCTCAGGCCAGGCAAGGGAGGGCAAGGGGCAGGGCCAGCCAGTAATGGGACAGGGAGCCACAGCAGAGGGGCCAAAAAGCTTCATGTGGCTCTGGAGCCGCAGGTTGCCAACACCTGCCCTAGGGAGGTACACCTGGTGGGACCCAGAAGAGCCTTCTCCGTGGTGGCTCCCTCTCTCTGGAACATCATCCCCACAGAGATTAGAATCCCGCCCCCCTCAAAGCACTCTTCCAGAAGGCACGAAAGACCTGATTCTGCCAGTGGGCCTGGGGAACCCAGAGCAGGATGAAGCCCATTAAATGGCTCATGTGAGGTGCTGTCGCTGGGGTGGGGTATGTGTGTGATTTTTGTATATTAATTCATTATATGACTTCTTTTATTAGTTTTACATGGGGTATATTCTGTAAGCCGTCTTGAGTCACCATGTGCGAATAGGCGGTAATATAAATTCCCTAAATAAAATAAAAATTGGTTGAAAGTTAGTTCATGGAAATTGAGTTTCCCAAAATTGTGACTGTTAGAATTTATTAAGCTTCATTTAGACTCCACTTGGATATTACTACTTACGCATTACATTAGGAATTGTTAGGTTTCCCATCTCTTGTTTTGGTGTATCTGATCAAATTCAGAAAATAGTTGCACAAAGAATTTCTGACAGTATGGGAGTATATATTGTTACTCTCAGTAACAAGGATGGATGAGCTGCTACAAATATAATTACATACAAATTAATTTTCAAATTGAAATATAGTTAATATATTTAAAAGCTACAAGTATCTTAGGGAATTGTCCTGTGTGAAATTTGAATTAGACACAATGTGGAAGATTAAGTAAAATCCCTTATCATGAATATACACGTTTATCATATAGAACGAGATTATTTTCAACTGTATAGAAAACAAACGGTTCACTGGTACCCCTTACCTTAGAATAACATTTTATTGTGGTCAAAACACAAATAATAAAACCCCCTTTTGAATAAACAGTGCAGGTGAGAGCCATATATATGTAAATCAAATTGAGGTAAATTATTAAGGTGATAAGTACATATGAATGCAGTTGGCTTAATTCATTTCTAAACATTGTGGCTAATCAGTAGTGTTGTTGGCTTTCATGTATGAGGATACATTGTATACATTGATACTGAGTCCTGAATCTTAGTGGAAAGGCAAGAAATCTTTGTAAACAAAACCAATGTAAGATATTTGAGGAGTTTTTAATATCAATATAAATTAATATTGGTAACTGAAGTTACTCATCTTAGTTTCTTGCTCCATCTTCCCCTTTAGGTTCTAACAGTGTTGTGCAATATAGCTGCCAAGGGTGCTGCCTACTGTGAAATGCTGCACCAAAAAGCTGTGCTTCCTTCTCTTGTAAATATCCTTGTTATTTTTGATGTCCAAGTAATAGGCCAAGATTTAGAACTATTGCATCTCATCTTCTTTCATTGGCCAAAGGTAGACTTTTATGCATTGTGTATTACAGTATTATTATATATTCTAAAAGTCCAAGATGTACTAACAGTTTCAATACTAATGTGTATGTTCTTTCACTCTGCCAGGCTGCCATTGACTTTGTAAATCATTCCGGACTACATGCCTTACAGCAGCATCAAAATAACCTACATTTACAAGAGCAAGTCAAAGTGCTAATTCAAACAGTTAGCCAGATAACTGCTGTTCCTCAAAATAAACCCCTTGGAACTGAAAATCTTCATTTTATTTCGTGACAAATGTGAAGCAATTACATATGTAAATGAACGATATTAATTTGTTGCCAACAAATTTTAAACAAAACCCTTTGAATAGCAGTGTGTTTTTGAATCAATTTACCTCAAATGAGTTAACTTACAAAATGCATCCCTATGCTTGTGTTTTCTCTCTCACACACATCCATATCCACCAGCACCTTTCCTTTCTGAGCATTTGTGCTCATATGCACCCTCTATTTCTTTTCCCTTCAACTGAAAAATAACAAAGCATTTTTCAAAAAGTATATGCATTAAGGTATTTCAGGAATTCTGTAACTATTAGCATGATTGATAAAAATGTTTTAAATAAGCAAGATAAATACTCAGTAGTGGATTTTGTTGAATTTGATGGGATTTATCTAAAAATAGTTACAGGTTGATTAGATCGTACAGACAGTATTTATAGTAGTTTGTATGAATTTAAGATTTCTATTTTGATTTAAACTTTAAGCATAATTAATGTAATTTTCAAATATGTCATTAATACTTTACCAAAGTCCTGTGTTCCAATTTGCAAATGTAACATATTTTTCTTCATTGAAATGGTTATTATATATGCTTCTAATATTTATTTGGCTGGGTGATAGAAGCCAGCAAAAATGGACCAAGTATAAAATACACTAGATATGTCTAGTTAATGTGGAAAAAAAATTTCCGAGGAAAAACATTCCACCAATTCATCATTTTGGGAGAGTCAATTGGACAGCAATTTAATAAATAAATTCAAAAGTTGCTGATATCCATTCTAAACACCCTTTTTTCCATGATGTGATCCAAACTGGAGTGAATGTTATTCACCATGTGTTTCCCAGTGCACGCACGCACACACATTGATATAACATGAAGGGAAGTGTAAAAAAAAGCTCAGAATGAACACAACTTCTTATGGCTGCTGCTAATTGAGTGGGAAAGAATTCTAGAAGCCTTGCCCTGCATGTTTTCACTACACTGCTTAGATTGCCCTGGTATGTACGTTGACCAAAACAGGACACATTGTATATGACTTTATTTGTAGATCACAAGTACATGGAAATTACAAACAAATATATATATTGTTTTAGAATCGAAGAATACAGGATTATCTTCATATTTTTCTATTAACAGCATTGTCCAAGGCTTTGGCAACTTGGTCAACATTAAGGTTATTCAGTGACACACTCTTTTCTAGGCCATAGGCTGTAAAAAAAAACAAATTTGATTAAAAAAAAATCTTACAGACTTCATTCAAAGATAATTCTAAAGTTTCAAAACACAATTGTGTTTTTAATCTGTAAGTCTTTTACAAGTGAATTACTTATGTAAAGATTTGCTAATCCAATTCAGAGAAAAGCCTATGGGGATAAAATATACAGTATATGCACAGTACTATTTTTCTAAAACGTTTTCAGCTGACACTGCAAGGAAAAGGCTGCTCCTAAAGGATACATTGATGAAGATATCTTTTCTTTGTGATGTGCCAGCAGCAGTTTCTGTAATACGGAGAGTCTTTGACCTACATCCATAGTGGACCCTGCCTATTACTGTCACAAGTATAGAATCATAGAATAACAGAGTTGGAAGGGACTCTATACTATTCCAGACAAATAGTTGTTCAATCTCTTCTCAAAAACCTCCAATGATGGAGTACCCACAATCTCTGGAGGCAAGTTGTTCCACTGATTAATTGTTCTCTTTTATCCTTAATTCTAGGTTGGCTCTCTCTCTAATAATCTTCCATCCGTTACTTGTCCTGCCTTCTTCAGGTGCTTTAGAGAATAGATCAGCCCCCTCTTCTCTGTGACAGTCCCTTAAATGTTGGAAAACTGTTATGTGATCACTAATTCTTTTCATCCTCGGCATTTTTCTAGTGTCTCAATATCTTTCTTGTATTGGAGTTACCAAAATGGGACATAATATTCCAAGTGTGTCTTATTAAAACAATATAAAGTGTTACTATCCAGTGGTGGGATTAAAAATTTTTTACTACTGGTTCTGTGGGCATGGCTTGTGGGTGTGGTGTGGCTTGGTGGGTATGGCAGGGGAAGGGTACTGTAACATCCCCATTCCCTCCCAACTTCAGGGGGAAGGTTACTGCAAAATCCCATTCCCTCCCCACCCCACTAACCTGTTTCCCAGCTCCGTTCTCCTGTGCAGGGCAACAAAAGAAGATCCAGCCAATCAGCTGGTACTCGGGAGGCAGAGAATAGATGGGGGCGGGGCCAGTCAGAGGTGGTATTTGCCGGTTCTCCGAACTACTCAAAATTTCCGCTACTGGTTCTCCAGAACTGGTCAGAACCTGCTGAATACCAGCTCTGGTACTATCACTTTGCATTATTTTGATACCATCCCTCTGTTGATATAGCCTGCTTTGGCTTTTTCGGCAACTGAAGCATACTGCTGGCTCACACTTAACTGGTTGTCCACTGGGATGCCTAAATCCCTCTCAGTTTCTGCTGTTGAGCCAGGTACCACCTATTTTATACCTGTGCATTTGCTTTATCTTGCGTATGTGTAAAACCTTACTTTTTTCATCACTGAATTGCATTTTGTTGGATAGGACCTAGTGCCCAAGTGCTCCTTCTGGATCTTGAGCCTATCTCCCAAGGTGTTGGCTCCCCCTCCCCCCAAGCTTGCTATTACCTGCAAATTTGGTGAGTTTCCCCTTCTGCCCCCTTTTTTAGATCATTTATGAAAATGTAGAAGAATACTGGGTCTAAGACAGAACCTAGAGGTACCACACTGCATACTTCCATTTACATGTAGTTCCACTGAGGACAACACATTAAGTGTGGTTGGCCAGCCAGTTGTGAATCCATCTGGTGTTGATGCTGTCTACCTCCCATGTCAAACGCTTACTGAAGTCTAAGTAAACTATGTCCACAGTATTTGCCTTATCCAATAATTTAGTCTAAATTAAATGAATTAAAATTAACTTTTGCTCTAAAGGCAGTCAGATAAACAGCAATTAACTTTCCAAGAACTCAGTTTCTGCTCTACCCAATTTACTTTACATGTTGTGCTCTAGCTGGCTGAATATTTTGATCTGGATTTTTTTCTTTATCTCCTCAAGGCAAGCTGTATAAAGATTTTGCTTCCTTTCCTCTACTGTTCAGTCACTCATCAGTATAAATTATTTATAGATTTTATCACCCCTTTTCCAGGCATGCAGTGAATTTAGCAAATGAGGGGAGGCATCAACAAATTCCACAACTTTTTTATTGACAGAATATGGGTTTCTGGGTGACAGAGAATTTAAGCAAGCAAAATATTTTGAGAAGCTCCTCTAAAGCTGCTGTCTTTGCATGCAGGTGACTGATTTCTCCAAAGCCTAGCAACAGCCAGGAGAGGTTTGCAATATCCTGACAGCCAGCTGACAGAGGCAGAAAACTTCCAAAGGAGTCACCATTTTCACAAGGAATTGTTGAGAGTACTGAAATTGATAGCTGCTTCTTCCAGGAGGCATCAGGGGTAGGCCCAAGCACTGTAAGATTCCAGCAGGACAGGATGGAGGAAAGAGGTGGGGGGTGTTGCAGCATCCTTGTGATCAGTTGTAAGGATGAATGATCATCAGGGTGCTGCAGCTCTGTAGGTTTGAAATAACTTCAAATGGATGTTAAGTGAGCTGTCTATCTCAAGGAGTACTTGTAGTCTGTACACAACCTCATTTTCATAGGTTGCATTTATTTATACCTATTGCCTATCTTCTTGGTGCATACAATGCCCAGAATATCAACCAACATAAAACGGTATATCATGCTAACCATCAAAACCCAAGATGCACACAGTATATGTGGCATGAGTGCAATGTCGAGGATTTTTAGCTCACTTGTTAAGCATGTTATACGAACACAGCCAGAGCTGAAATTCACATGTCCCTAGTCATTTTGCTTTGTCGGTTGTTCAATTTTCTCTAAATCAGGAATCTGAGCAAGTAAGAGATCAAAATAATAAAAGATTACGAGTAGAGTTACAGAGTTTATGAATTACATTTATGAGTTACAGAAAGCCTTTTTCAGAGTGCGATACTAATTGCAAGCAGTGAATCTCTCCTATTCCCATCTGGTTCTGAAATCTATCCTACTTTATAATTCAACCAGACCGTACAATTTTAAAAAGATCTATTAATAGGGATGTAGGCAAATGTATTTGCTCCACAAAGACATTAAGTTTTACTATAACAATACTACAGCACTTTTGTTCAGAGTCAGCAACTTTATCCATTACTCCATATAGAGCTTTAGTTATTATTTTCACTGCCTTGTACCCTGTTTCTCCAACAATATGGCCTCTCCCAATAGGAAGTCCCAGCCTGTTTTATAGGCATGAAATGAAATTAAGCCACTCCCCCCAAATTAAGGCCTATATTAAAACATGCGAAATGGGGGGAATGGTGGGGGGGCTTGCCGTTAGGAAGTACTTTTGTTGCACACCCGGATATGGCGCTGCCTGCATTGACCCCGATATGAAATGCCCCACCAACGCCGAGGTCAACATCCAACCCGTCGCCGCCTGCCCGAAGATGCAAGGGGGGGGAATTAAGTCACCCCCGAAAAGACGGCCTAGCCATTTTTTCGGGGCTCAAAAAAAAATAAGACCCAGCCTCATTATATGAGAAACATGGTATTACATTTTGGTGATCAGATTTTTAGAAATAAAGATTCAATATCATCACAATTTGTTCCAAAGTTAAGAAAGATTGCCCCACCCCCAATAACACTGGTAGCAATTCTTTTTCCCATTACAGGATTAAAATCCTTTTTTTACATATTTATGGAAGGCAATAAAAACATGATGTACTGGCACTAAGCATACATTTCAAGCATTTGGCCACTGGGAGTTCCATTTAGTTAGACAATTGATACTACAAAATCAACATAAATTATGAGTGACAGAAGCTTTTCTATGAAAATGTAAATTTAATATATTATAGACACTGTTATCTTAAAGCATTAATTAGTATATTAGAAGATAAGTAAAAATTCTGTAAAAGAAACTAATAGTAGCATCTGTTTTTGTCTATGATTGTAACATACCGTGTTTCTCCAACAATACGGCCTCCCCCAATAGGAAGTCCCAGCATGTTTTATAGG